GCTGGGATTACAGGCTTGAGCCACCGCGTCTGGCTGCCTCCTCCTTTAATAGCCCTCCCTGCTCTTCATCCTCCTGGTCCTCAGACTCATGAAGCCTATAATTATTTATTGATTTATTTATTTTTAACTGATCCTGATATAATCCTCTCTCTCTCTCTCTTAAAGTTCTCACTTTGTCATCTAGGCTGGGGTGCAGTGGCACAATCATAGTTCACTGCAGCCTCGAACGCCCGGGCTCAAGCAATCCTCCTCTCTCAGCCTCATGAGTAGCTAGCACTACCAGCTTGTGCCACTGCACTGGCTAACTTTTTTCTTTCTTCTTTTCTTTTCCCTTTTTTTTTTTTTTTTTTAGAGACAAGGTCTCGCTATGTTGGCCAGGCTGGTCTCAAACTCCTGGCCTCAAGTGATCCTCCCACCTCGGCCTCCCAAAGTGCTGGGATTACAGACATGATCCTCTACAGCTGGCCTGATATGATTCTTAAACCGCGTATTGAATATACTGTATTGCTTTTCTCCCTTTAAAGCTAATTGCTCCCTGATTTTAGCTGTCTGCCATAGATGAGTAGCAGCATTCATGATTTCATCAATATGCTGGGAGTTTCACAAAGCTGTTCCACTATTGGGGATGATGCTCTTCCTCATTTTGTCTGACAAATTCCCACACACTATTTATTTATTTATTTTTGAGATGGAGTCTTGCTGTGTTACCCAGGGTGGAGTGCAGTGGTGCAATCTTAGCTCACTGCAACCTCCGCTTCCTGGGTTCAAGTGATTCTCCTGCCTCAGCCTCCCAAGTAGCTGGGATTACAGGTGTGTGCCATGACACCCGCCTAATTTTATTTATTTATTTATTATTATTATTTTTTTATTTTTAGTAGAGATGGGGTTTCGCCATGTTGGCCACACTGGTCTCAAACTCCTGACCTCAAGTGATCCACCCGCCTCAGCCTCCCAAAGTACTGGGATTACAGGCATGTGCTACCACGCCTGACCTCCACGCACTATTTAAATAAGGGCATTGTCACAAAGATGCAGGCAGAGTGATGGGAAGCCACAAAGGATGGCCTAGACCCCATGGTTAATAACAGAGGGGCACAGCTTGCCAACTATGTCTAGACTTGAAGGGGCAGGAGGGGGACAGTGGCTGGAACCTGGTGAGAGAGCTGTGATTTTGTGTTCTAGAACTTTATGTTCCAGGAGGGAGCCAGTTGGCAGTACCAACTGGAATCCAGCCAGAAGCAGAGGGCAAGGAGCTGGTGGATGCAGGCCATAGAAGCCAGCCTCCCGAGGCGCAGAGCAGGGCGAAGGACAGCAGAGAGTGGGTGTGGAACTGCTTGGGCAAATGGGAACTATTCAGCACTTACCGATCAATGTTAGGGGCTGAGTTGTGTCTCCCTGAAAATCGTAGGTTGAGGTCCTAACTCTCAGTACCTCAGAATGTGACTATAATAGGAGGTAGTCTTTGAAGAGGTAATTAAGTTAAAAATGAAGTCAGTAGGGTGGGCCCTAATCCAACAAGACTGGTGTCCTCATAAGAAGAGATTAGGACAAAGCCTTCCCACAAAGAAGAAAGACCATGTGAAGACGCGGGAGAAGAAAGCTGTCTCCAAGGCAAGGAGAAACTAGCCATGTGCACAATAAACTAAACTTGCAGACACCTTGATCTTGGACTTCTGGCCTCCAGAACAGGGAGAAAATTTGTGTTTAAGCCACCCACTCTGTGTGCAAGTGGTGTTAGGGCAGGCCTAGCAAACTTCATACAATCAAGAAGCTATTCAGCACATAACTTAATATGTATGTATTTGCCTCTGTCTTCCCTACTGGACAGTTGGATTCTCTAAGACTCAGAATAGTCAAGGAGGTGTTTACATGCTTCTGGAATGAATGGATCATCTAACAAGAAAGTAAAACAGTAAGGCAATCTATGAAATATTATCAAAATGCTGCAGTCCAGGTGGCAATGGGTGGATGACACAGCACAACAGCAATAGCGATGCCATTACAGTCACCAGGCGTGTCGCTGCTCACAGGCACTCACTATGTCCCAGGTGCTGTGAATAGTGCTTTACATGAATGATCTCTTTTACTTTTGCCACAAGCCACGAAGATAGTTGACGCTGCCATCCATATTATTATTATTACTATTTTTGAGACAGGGTCTCAGCTCTGTTGACCAGGCTGGAGTGCAGTGGTGTGATCATGGCTCACTGCAACCTTGAACTCCTGGGCTCAAGCCATCCTCACACCTCAGTCTCCTGAGTAGCTGGGACTACAGGCATGCACCACCACACCTGGCTAATTTTGCCCAGGCTGGTTTTGAACTCCTGGTTTAAGCAATCCTCCCACATTGGCCTCCCAAAATGTTGGGATTACAAGCACGAGCCACTGAGCCCAGCTCCACATTTTAACTGTTGGAGAAACAGAGGCTTGAAAAGTTACATAGCTTGCCCAGAGTGATGCAATTAGTGGGCACATCTACAATGAGACAGTGGGATTAATATGAGGCTGAGTGGTGTTGTAGTGGAAGGAACATGGCCTTTGTGAGAGTTTACAAGCACCACTTCCTTATCTGTAAAATTATCAGGACATTACGTATGGCAGCAGGTGGTTGAACGACTGAATGAGACACTTGAGGTTCCTTGGTACCTCCTGCAGCACGGTAGTGCATGGTGTAAGTGCCCCAGCCCCTCACAGCCTTGGGTGGCTGTGGTCCCTACTCTAGAAGACAGTCTCAGATGTCCATTCTGCCTGCCCCCTGCTGCCCAACAACTCCCTCCTGTATTATGAATGAATGCTTCTTGGGTGTGTACTTCTCGTGCAGCCTCGGAAGGCTGTTATCCCAAAAGTACCTATAGTCTGCCCACCAATATTCTGCTCTCAGTCACAGAAGCAGGCTGGAAAGGCAAACTTCAAAGGCTTGGAAGAGGAAGGGACCACCCCAAGATTAGAGAGAACATTTCTGCCTTGCAGTTCTTCCCCTATTGAGGGTTTGTGTCTTTGTTCCCCCTCCTTGTTCTTAGAATAAACCCTTTAACTCTTGAGCTGCAGTGACTGCACTAACCTACAGTAGCAGTTCCTGGTGGGAGAAGAGAAGTGTGCCTGTAATCTGGGCTGGCAGATAGTGCTGGCTGGGACAGAATTAGAAAGTTGTTAGGAGGCCTGGGAAGACTATATTTAGCTGGGAGCATGTTTACTCTCCCCAGAGCATGGCCTTTTAGACCTCCTGAGGGCTGGGAGACTACAGCCTTTACACTTGGCCTGGGGCCAGAGCTGTGCTGTCTCTTCTCTGTTACAGAGGATCTGGAGACAGCAGTGAAATCCACTACAGGTTAGCCCTGGGCCTCAAATCACTGGATTCCTGGTGTGTGTGTGTGTGTGTGTGTGTATGTGTATGTGTGTGTGTGTGTTGTGGGGAGGGGGGCGGGGGAGCGGCCTTCTGCTGGACTCTTGAGCCTACCAGCCTCCAGCTTTAGGCATAGCTTAGGCAGCAGTGTGAGGTCCTGGAAAGGGCCCTGTCTGCCCCGCCCCCACAGGCTGGCTCTATCAGTTGCTTATCAGACAAGTTTAACTTCCTGAGGCCTTGCTTTCTCATCTATAATGAGGATGTTAATAGCTACCTTATGGGAAGGTATGTGGATTCAGTAAGATAACACACACAAGTAGTAAGTACTCATCAAACAGTCCCTTCTTCCCCCTCACCAGCCTCTGAGTGGGAGGACTCTAGCATGACTTGACTAGGTTCCCAGGAGACATTGTGTGTGATTCAAAACATTCATTGGATTAAAAGTTCAAATATGAATACCATCTCTTTACAAGTCAAACTCTGAAGCACGTATAAAGGAAGAAAAAATTCTCCCTTCCCTGCCTGCAATTTCACTCCGAGATACCCCATGTTCACAGCCTTGGGTGTCCTTCTGCAGAATTTCTATCCTCAAACACAAACATATATAGAGGTGTTTCTTTTTTTTTTCCTAACACGTTGAGATTCCATTAAACATGTTTCTTTGCCACTTCGTCTTTCATTTAAACATGTCATGTACGTTAACCTAGGTAAATACATATGGATCTAGCTCATTCATTTTAATAGCTGCATAGGGTTTCAAAGAAAGTATGAACAATAATTTTCCAGCCATTTCTCATCTGATAGATTTTTTTTCCCACTACAAACAATGCTGCAACGATGATCCTTAAGCAAACATCCTCATGAATTGATGTTTTAATTTCTACGAGATTCTTTCCCCGAAATATGATTACTGGGTCAAAGGGTATACGCTACACACAGTTTATATTTTTTTACAGTTTAACACTAAGAGATGACTTTCTGCAGATTTTTTCGTTTCCTTCTCGGCGTTTGTTTGTTCCGGACACTTTCACTTTTCGAGTTCCAAGGAGGAGGTAGTCCGCGACGCCGGCCGCGGGAAACACGAGTTGCAGCCAGTATCCCAGTTAGCGTGGATGCAGGTGGCACTCCGGGGACGAGGGGCTTAGTGGGAGCACTACACAGCCAAAGGCGGAGGCCCGAAATCTAGCACGACGCTGGGCAAGTGACGGCCCCTCTCCGGCCTTCGTTTTCTTCTACGTAGTCTGTGACTCTGAACAACATTAGGCTCAGCGTGGGCCTAGAGCTGGTGACCTCAAATCTCGGCCTTTGTTGGCTTCCCCAGGACCGTAGGCTGCGCCTCACCCCCACTCTGCCCCACTACTTCTCCTCCGCGTGGCTCCACCTTTTCAGAGGAGTTGGCTCAACAAGGCGACAGAGAGTAAAGCAACCGCCATAATGAATCCCTCCCCCAGCTCGGTCATTTATTATTTCTGTCCGGCTTTGGCTCGCTCCCTCCCTTTTGGCTCTGCTATCGAGTGCTCCTGCCTGAAACTGGCAAGTAACCTCGGAGCGCGCCCGTTCGGCCTATCACTTGCTTCTGCCTGCGCTGCTCTCCCGCAGGGGCTGTGGTGAAAGCACAGTGATCCTCGGCTCGGCCAGCAACTTATGCGCCCTTTATCTGGAGCAGCCGCTTCCGGTTCCGGTAGCAGCTAGTCACGCTTGATCCCAGGCGCAGATCATGGCAGGCAGCCGGCTGGAAACCGTAGGGAGCGTCTTCTCGCGGTGTGTGCTCCGAGCCGCGGTGGGCTGAGGGTGCTTTCCCCAGGCTGGGGTTCTCAGCTGGTCACGCTCTTCCTTGGGGCGGACCTGAGCAGGGCGAGGCGTTCTGCAGGGTGCGGGGGCTGAGCTGGGTGAGACTCCCATGTTTTCTTCTGGCTTCGAATAGTTGTGCCTGAGGATGCCTCTCCTTGCATTTATGTGTCATGTTAAAGATTATTGCAGCCGCCTCTCCCCGAGTGGAGGTCTCTGGGAAGAGGAAGGGAGGAAGAGCCCGATGGGCCTGACTAGACCGCTCTTGAATTTTTCCGTGACGGAACGTGGGTGGGACGCACAAAAGAAGATAGAGGGATTTAACCCCTGAGCGTTGTTAGTTTGGTTTGGGATGTGGACAGACCTTCCCTGTAGGTGGGGAGCAGTCCTCTCCCGATCTGTGTTGCAAACCGCGTAATACCTTTAATGTCCCAAACTGTGCTAGACTGATTCAGGGGCTTTGGCAGGCTACTGCAAATGACTCAGTTTCGTTCTGTTCCCTCTCTAAGGACTCGGAACCTGATTCGGGCCGGGGTGCTGAAGGAGAAACCTCTGTGGTTGGACATATATAACGCCTTTCCCCCGCTGAGGGAGCCCGTCTTCCAAAGACCCCGATTGCGATATGGCAAAGCCAAAGCTTCCATCCAGGACATCTGGTACCACGAGGATCAGATTAGAGCGTGAGTGCTCAGCCCTGTAGTGGACAGGAGGCAACAGAACTTAAGAAGGGGAGGTTTCGGTAGCAGTCTGGGAATTCAAATATGAAATTGAGTCAGGGGCTTGCCCTGTGGAGAAGACTTATCTAGCCAAATTAGGGAGTCAGCACCCCTTCCCCATAGTGAAACTGAAGTTCTCAAAACTGGAATCTGGAGCCCAGCAACTGAAAGATCATTGCAATTATAGCTGCCTGTTTCTGGGCATCTGCTTTGGGCCAGGAACTGTACTAAGCTCTTTGCAAGCATTATCTCATTCTCTAAAGGCCTTACTCTAACTTACAAGGAAGTATTGTTTCCGTTTTATTCAAGGAGACTGCGAAGCTCTGGGAAATTAGCTAACTTCTATTAATTACTAAATACATAGGAGGGTGGCAGATCTGAGAATCACATCTCTGACTCCAAGCTTATGGTGATCATTATGCCTGCCTTCTCCAGGAGTAGAGCTAGGAGGAACGTGGTCTATGGATCTAGTAGTCCGGATCTTTGAAGCCACTCAGATGAAAGGATGCTTAAAAGTCTAAGAGAGGCCGGGCGTGGTGGCTCACGCCTGTAATCCCAACACTTTGGGAGGCCAAGGCGGGCGGATCACCTGAGGTCAGGAGTTCGAGACGAATCAGACCAATATGGTGAAACCCCGTCTCTACTAAAAATACAAAAATTAGCCGGGCATGGTGGTGGGTGCCTGTAGTCCTAGCTACTCGGGAGGCTGAGACAGGAGAATTGCTTGAACCTGGGAGGTGGAGGTTGCAGTGAGCCGAGATTGCACCACTGCACTCCAGCCTCAGCGACAGAGTGAGACAAATCACTAGGAATTTAAAGGAAAATCATGTGTTCTTTGTTTATTTTTTTTAGCATCCCTTTTCTCTCTTTTTCTTAAGCTCAGTGGCAAGAGTATTTCCTCTTTTGTTCTAAAAGCAACACATGCTACTTGTAGAAAATTTAGATACACGAGGAAAGCATAAAGAAGAAATCACAGGCTGAATGTGGTAGCTTGTGCCTGTAATCCCAGTGCTCTGGGAGGCGTAGGCGAGGATAGCTTGTGCCCAGGAGTTTGAGACCAGCCTGGGCAACATAGCAGGACTTGTCTCTACCGAAAAAAAAAAAAGGAGTTGTCTTAGTTTACACTCTGATTAGCAGTTTCTGAGAGTTCTTACTTTATCCTTGTCAGTATTGGTAATGATTATTTAAGATTTTTTTTTTCTGAGCCAGGTATCGTGGCCCATGCCTGTAATCCTAGCACTTTGGGAGGCTGAGGTGGGCAGATTGCCTGAGTTCAGGAGTTCGAGACCACTTTGGGCAACATGGTGAAACCCTGTCTTGACTAAAATACCAAAAATTAGCCGGGCATGGTGGTGGGTGCCTGTAGTCCCAGCTACTCTGGAGGCTGAGGTGGGAGAATTGCTTGAACCTAGAAGGTGGAGGTTGCAGTGAGCTGAGATTGCACCACTGCACTCCAGCCTGGGCAACAGAGGGAGACCCTGTCTCCAAAAGAGACAGGATCCTGATCTAGGTAATTTTTTTTTTTTTGAATCGGAGTCTCACTCTGTCTCCCAGGCTGGCATGCAGTGGCACCATCTTGGCTCACTGTAAGCTCTGCCTTCCGGGTTCACGCCATTCTCCTGCCTCAGCCTCCCGAGTAGCTGGGACTATAGGCGACTGCCACCACGCCTGGCTAATTTGTGTATTTTTAGTAGAGACGGTGTTTCACCGTGTTAGCCAGGATGGTCTCGATCTCCTGACCTCATGATCTGCCTGCCTTGGCCTCCCAAAGTGCTGGGATTATAGGCATGAGCCACTGCACCTGGCTGATCTAGGTAGTTTTAAAATAATAACCCCAGCACTTTGGGAAGCCCAGGCAGGCGGATCACGAGATCAGGAGTTCGAAACCAACCTGGCCAACATGATGAAACCCCGTCTCTACTAAAAATTAAAAAATTAGCTGGGTGTGGTGGCCCGGGCATGTAATCCCAGCTGCTTGGGAGGCTGAGGCAGGAGAATAGCTTGAACCTGGGTGGCGGAGGTTGCAGTGAGCTGAGATGATGCCACTGCACTCCAGCCTGGGTGACAGAGCAAGACTCTGTCTTGGGAAAAGAAAACCAGTAATTGTGTCTAGAGATTTTAATTTCTGTTTCTTTGACAAGTTTCTCTACTTTCATGATTATTGGCCATTTGAATTTATTTTTGAAATATCTGTCTTCTTTACCTATTTTAATAATTGTTATTATTGATCAGTAAGAATTCTTTATTGAATTGAAGATACTAAGTCTTTGACATACACTCCAGACATTTATTTATATGTTATTTGTTATTAATAATGCTTGTTTAATTTATAGAAGCTGGTTATTTCATTCCACTAATTTTTTTGGTGCCTTCTATGTGTTAAGCATTGTGCTAAACATTGTGCTAGGCACTGAAGTATTTTATGTATTCAAATCTACCCACTTTTTCTTTTTGCTAGCTTCATTGCCTTTAGGCTTAGCGGGTTTGGGAAAGTCTTTTTCAGTAAACTCAACTCTCTTTTTCTGAGTTATCTTTCAAAGTGCAAATGAGGGGTTGAAACTAGTAGAAATATTTATTCTTTAATCTTCTTTCCTCCTTCACTCTCCTTTTCCCAAAACTTAGTCACAGAAAATGTGCTTCTAATGGTTTCCTAGCAACATTCTTTGTTGTTGTTGTTGTTGTTGTTTTTGAGATGGAGTCTCGCTCTATCACCCAGGCTGGAGTGCAGTGGTGTAATTTTGGCTCACTGCAGCCTCCACCTCCCGGGTCCAAGCAGTTCTCCTGCCTCAGCCTCCTAAGTAGCTGGAATTACAAGTGCACGCCACCACGCCTGGTTAATTTTTGTATTTTTTGTAGAGATGGGGTTTTACCATGTTGGTCAGGCTGATCTCGAACTCCTGACCTTGTGATCCGCCCGCGTCGGCTTCCTAAAGTGTTGGGATTACAGGTATGAGCCACCCTGCCCGGCCTCCTAGCAACATTCTTAAAAATATCTTTAAAGTTCTCTATTTTTTTCATACTAAAAAAAAAAGAAAATAGATGTCACAACTCTTTTGGGACTACTTTTCTGCTGCCAGTCAGTTTTCATGTTTCCCCTTTTGTATGCCCTGAGAGCTTTGTTCATACTGCCCCTGTTGTGGCCTTAGCTTGTCTTTAATAGCTCTACATTACAAATGCCCTGTCTTTATTCAGTAACAAACATTTATTAAGCACTGTCATGGGCCAGGCATTGTCACATTCATTCCTGTAACTTCAGTGCCTAGCCCAATGTGTGGCATGTAAGTTGCTTATTAATTGTCTCTTGAATGAAGAAGCTAATGGATTAATGAACAGATGAACTACGAGGCTGGTAGAGGGAAATGCAAGAAAATTCCTTGGAGAGGAATGGTGGAGGGCCAGAATTGGGACTGTTTGGAGAATGGCCATCAGAGTTTTATTAGTTTTCTGAAACAATTTCAGCAACAGTAGGCTAGAAACCACTTCTGTGGCCACATTTAGCATCTCTATACATTTATCTGAATCTAAATAAGTGGTAGATCTCTCACTAGGAGTTTACTGACAAAGCCCCTCCCCTTGAATACTGATGTTAGTTAGCTTTTAGTACCTAGAATTTGTCTAGTTCCTTTTTCTCTTAAATATTTAGACCAATGAATGTGCCTAATTGACTTTGATGATACATATCCATTATTCTTACTGTTATTTCAGGATGCTAGAAAATGGAATTTATAAGGTCATTATGTTCTGAATTGGAGCCCAGGCTTCCCCCTGGGACCCCTAACCCCAGCACTCTTTTAAGGTAGCAGAACAAGCATGTTCTTGCTCTACTTGGAAATTTTCGGCATAGGACATGAGATCTTTAAGGAGATTAAATGCTTTTTCAGCACCTTTCTTCTCAGACCCATTGCATGCACTTTGTGGTTCATTGATACATTAAAATCATTTGTGCTTTGCTCTCAGGTATAATCCCGGCACTTTAGGAGGCTGAGGCGGGTGGATCACTTGAGGTCAGGAGTTCGAAAGCAGCCTGGGCAACATGGTGAAACCCCATCTCTACTAAAAATGCAAAAATCAGCCAGGCGTGGTGGCGTGCACGTGTAGTCCCAGCTAATCTGGAGGCTGAAGTGGGAGGATCGCTTTAACCCAGGAGACGGAGGTTGCAGTGAGCCGAGTTTGCACCACTGCACTCCAGCCTGTGCGACAGAGTGAGACTCCGTCTCAAAAATAAAGAAATAAAAAAAAAAATTAAAAAAAAATCATTTGTGCTTCTGCTGTAGATAACATTGGAACTGGGTGATAAATGATTGGAGAATGTGGAATAGTTTACTGGTCCCTCTTGTTAAATACTACCTTTTTTTTTTTTTTTTTTTTTTGGCGACAGAGTGTTGCGCGCGCTGTCTCTCCCAGGCTGGAGTGTAGTGGCTCAATCTCAGCTCACTGCAACCTTCACCTCCCAGGTTCAAGCGATTCTCCTCCTCGGCCTCCCGGGTAGCTGGAATTACAAGCATGTGTCACCACGCCTGGCTAATTTTTTTTTTT